AATAGAGAGACTATAGGACCAGTTAGATATAACACAATTTCATACCATATATAAAGTTAGGGGTTCCCCGCTCCATCTCGCCATCAGTTTGGGGGCCCCTGGCCTGGAAAGCTTTGAACACCCCTGATCTAATATATGTTTTTTATTGGCGGATAGCAACCAATTTAAGGTACATTTGCCGTAACCTACCAGACTGGGGTGAGGTCATCAATGATGTCAGAGGGAAGTTATTAATACATACCTCAATGTTATTCATGAATCTGCATATTATCTATAGATCTATATCTATACGAACACACATATAAATTAGCATGTGTCTATATGGACATGCATGAATACACAGATATTCATACTTTAAATAAATAATCCAGTGTTTTTAGAAAAGCTAATTATTTGATTTCTAACAGGATTTGATTTATTTCCTAAATGGTTTATCATAGAAAATGAGATTTTCTCTCTATTCAGTATTGACTTTAGGTGCTGACTTTCATGTGAATACTTATTATATTCTAATGAAACATTTTCCACTGTTTCCATCTTATTACAGTGATTAGTCCCTGTCTCATGTTTCCCTATTCTGAAAAGAGAACTAAGAAGTCCAGGATGACCAATTCTAAGTCCTGCAAAAACAAAATCCAGTGGATTGTTTTTAATTTTCTTTTTTGGAATGACTATGACCAGGATGACTGAGAACCTTCACCAGCATATCAACATCCCATTTAACTCGACCTTTATTAATAGGACCCTTGCAGATGACTGGTTGTTTAATCTGGTGATATGCAGACAAATGTCAGCATTCACCCTGGTATGGTTAGGAATCAAGACAAGCAGGATTTAAAAGCAGTTAAGGCAAATACTACCACAACAACTATGATTACGGTACTTATAAATTAAGAAGAATTATGATACAAAACTAATTTTCTTACTTCTACTATCTATAATTAAAGACTATAAAGCAAGTACTAATATTTACAAGACAAGAGCCTACATTTTGTTATATTGTTATTATTAATATCATTACTGTTGTTAAATTGTTATTATGCTCTAACTACAGCCTTAAGAAAACATAATTTGGGATCAAATAGATTCAGGTTTAGTTCCTTCTGCCAACAAATGCATCAGTTACACTTCTTTTTATTCAGTGTTTCTTTGTCGTCTCCTCAAAAGATAACTGTTTTAAATTGAATTCCTAACAGATATTGACATTTGTCTCGTTAAAAAGTTGAAAATTCTCAACAGCATAAACCAATCTAAAAATAAAGCCAATATATCATTTATTGACTTGAGTATATAGCTATTATACCTAATTTTATGATAAATCTTGGATTTTGTCTGCTTTCTTTTCACACCTCTGTAAGGAAAATGCTGATTTGTAATAATATTTGAGACAAGGAGCCCATGGTTCATTAGGTTTTCATCTTTATTGTTGCTCAGTAGTAGTCCATACAAAGGAGGGGTGGAGTAGTTCAGTGGAGCCCGACAGGACCAGGACAAACACCAGGAACGTCATGCTACCAAAGTATTAAATTTGTACAAAAATACTTTACAACATCCCTGTTCCTTTAAAGAAAAAAAATACAGTTTGGTTGGTTCGTGAAGCTACATGGAATCTAATCTGACCCACTATTTTAAATGGCAGTGCAGTGCGCACGTGTATATATATGTGTGTGTGTGTGTGTGTGTGTCTGTGTGCACATGTTTTGCTGAGGTTAATCACCAGAGTGCAAATCCCTGCAATTTTACACACACATACACACAAATACAAACGCACACTCTAACATATTTACACACTTTTTACATACAAGCGAAAGCACAGTGTGTATGGCTTTGGATCTCACTCGTCAATCCCTCTGAAGCCCCGCCCCTCAGCTCTGTGGTTGTTGTCATTGGTCAAGCAGTTTGTGTTGACTGAGCACTAAAATGTTACCACTAGGCAATGGTTTGTTTTCATCTGCCCTGTATCTGGTTGTTAACATTAATACCGAGCATTTACATGTGGTAGCCTCGTTTATTAGCCATGCTTGCATATATTTATACCCTTTCGATTGCACATGGACATTGGGGATAACTTGGCCTCGATTACAAAGCGGTTCCTTTAATCCAAGCCTTTTGGATTGCAGATTTGGCAAGTCCTGCCAATCACAACTAAAGGTTTTGAACAAGACACTTTTAAAGAAATAGATAGATTACCCTGCTAACTTATGGACTGAAGCATGGCAGGTTGAAGGCGTCATCATTGCCCTCCAAGAAAGTCAAACTGATGAAAGTGAAGGATGCTAATGGTGTAATTGATCAATCAGCCAATCTGTAAGCTTGGCACAAATCAAACAAGTTTTCTAAAAACACAATGATAGACTAAACTTTTGATGTGAGCCAGTTAAAAACTAGCAATGTTATCATTCTTACAATGTGCTTTTTAGGGGAGACGCCGAGGCTGATAATTACTGCGGGTGCTTGCTAAAGTCAAGGATACCTTTGATAGAATGAGTCCTCAAATGTTCTGCTCATCCTAGGCCAGAAATATAATAATTTGCTGCCTTCTATTTATGAATCTTTTCATCTGTTTTCCACAAAAGATTTGACAAAGGGTCACGGTGGAGAAGCACCAAGATGTTCCATAAACTTTCAGCTTAACATTAGGAAGTCTAAAGGCCCCTACATGCTGGGGAGTACTTCACTCAGCAGAAGACTGCGTGTAATCAAGTCGTACCCGTGGCAGACTCCACACACCGTCTCCCAGACAGGTCTGTGCAGAGATCAGTTTTGACATCCACGTAGATTAAAGGAATAGGGGATGATCTTTTATTTAAATTTCTATCTAAATAAGTAGTCCTCCTAATTGTCAACCATTCTGGTGATATGTTTAAGTAAGGCCGTCCTACGTGTTCGTCCTGTTAGCTATCTTTTTCTGCGCACGCACACTTTTAGGTGGATACAAGTGGTGAGCTACGGTACGGTTTCAGACAGTCATTGAATCTCACCTTTAGCGAGGAGAACTCTCGCCGACAAGTATTATGGGATATGCTGTCATGGGCAAATCGCTCAGTGCGCAAACACGGATTCTTCCTATTCTTCCTCTCATATTAAAACACAGAAGCATGGTGGGGGTGCGAGTGAATAGGAGTTCTTTCTGTAAAACTGACAGACCATAGTAGCCTCATTTGCTCAGCCATCTCTTTGTCCAAATACGTCGTCGCCTTTTTTTTTTAGGCCTTTCAGCACAAAAACATTTCACAAATTGCAGAGGCAGCACGTTTCTCTCTAACGAGGTTCATATTCCTCTTCTACTGGTTTGGCTTCCAAATAGACAAGTCCGAATAGCGCCATCTCACTGCGGAGCTGAGACCGACGTGGTTTTTAGACGTACGGCGTGAGCAGGTAGATCGCATCAGACCATTGGGTCGTCGTACACTATGAGCTGTGGGTGCGTGCAACGTGTGAAAAAATCGTACCGTGTATGCCCGGCTTTAAGACGGCTGAATGTCAGAACAGATTTGATGACAAAACATTTCAAAATGAGAAGACACCTTGACTTTAAGAAGCATCCGCACCATGTGCAGTTCACATGCTAGGTCACAGCATAGCACAGCAGATGTTAGCCCTGTAGTAGCATTGTGTGAGGTCTGTGCTGTCTAGAAATCGGCCATGCTTGCCCTGGGTTTGATTAGAAACCATCTACTAATCAAACATGTTATTAAAGTTGGTAAAACTAGTCCTGACTACCTTTGTGCTCTTTTAGCCCTGTGCTCGATGCTTGCTAACCATACGCCAGTAATGTGCTTAATTCAGATTAGAGAATCCAAGCCAATCAATCAATAATCCACTGCATCGGACCCTCCCAACTCAGGGAGGATTTCTATTTGTTGTTGGTGCTGAGGGAGGGTTCTGATTGGCCAGTTTAAATAGTGAGTTCAGACTGAGAAGAGCAGGAAGATGCTGACATCAAACGTAAACAGTTATATATCATTCGCCCTCAAACACACAGAAAATGCGTTTACTGTCACAGTTTTCCTGATTCCAAAGGCTTTTTTTCTCGTGTAACATTATTTCTGTGGTTATGACGTGAAGGTTACTGGGATTTGGATGTGAAAAGCGACGTTGACTGTTTTTTTTTTTTTATCTTCTGTACATCTTTTTAGGTTTGGTTGCCATTTAAACAAACAGAGAACTGACAACAGTCAATCAAAATCACACTTATTGATTAGCATAATAGATCACTGTTACGGGGGCTGGAAAAGGGAGGGGAGAGGGGGCATGCTTGGCCTCTTTTCTGGGAGCCGATTGGCTCTCCTCAACACATAAACTAACCAATCACACACAGGTGGGGAAACTGTTTGTTTTCTGATTGGTTCCAGCCAATCAGCTGATGTGCTGTCGTTTCTCGTCCTGGCTGCTGATTGGTCAAGGGATGGAGAAACGTTGGGGGTTACGCCAAGACAGGAAACTGAGTTAACTGGCCTGTTTGCAACACCCGCACACACTCACACACACACAGACATACATACACAGTGTGGCCAGTCCAACAGCTGTAAACTGTAGAAAAAGACTCTTATTGAACTGCTCAGTGTCATCATCATCATCATCGTCATGACTACTCTGCATCGTTCAATCAGCAGCTCATTTATGGCACAGAACTAAAATTTACAGTAAACTCTCTACCTTTGTGTCTGGGTTATTAGGGATGCTCCGATCAGAATCAGCTGATTCTTACTAAAGTCCATATTTCTATTATTTTGCCCCCAAAAAATGAAACTATATTTAAAGGTTACTTTGCCAATATGAGAACGAACAATGTTAAGGTTTGGTTAATGCTGACCCTGTTGAAAGAAGCTCTTAAAAGTCCAGTTTAAAGGTCTGGTCTTCATGGTTCATCCTTTAAAAACAACTCATTTCCTTCGAGGTGGTGAAATGTGTTCATTAGCACAATAGAAAAAAAAAACGTACATAAATTAGCTTATTAACATATTTTTAGCAAAAGTAAATGTCAGAAAAGTTACAAGTTCGTTTCTATTCAAAATATAAAACTTTGAATTGTGTTTTGTTAAAATAGAGAATCTGCATTTTGCATTCGACCATCCGCTTACCTAACTGCTCCTCATCAACCCAAAAACTGGAGTAAAAGTGCTGCTGATTCCGACTGATTATGGATTTTTATATATATATAGAAACTTTTTGAGGGCTAAACACAGAGGACCTTCTTTTTGACCAATTTCGGTGAATTTTGATGACAACCCTGTCTGAATGCTGATTGATGCTGCGTTTTCAGGGTGTAAATCAATCCTTTTGGGTCCAGGTTCTCTGTAGTTTATGAAACTATGGAGAACCTCCTTATAAAAGGGGTAAAAATAAGCTCTATTACATTTTCTTAATACCAGATTCTGACTCCTTTGGGTTTATCTCACAGCGAATGCTCATCAGAATGTTAAACAGTGTCTAAAAGGTCACATTCATCAAGGTTTAGGTTATTTTGAAGAGCCGCATCATCATAATGCTTCAAGCTAAAGTTCAGGCTAGCAGCAGTGATATAGTCCTATTTAAATCAGTGATTCCAGCCTGTGGATCATTAAAGCTGAGGCTGAAATAATCAAAGTGCCATTTGTTTATAGATTAATAACAGAATGAAACTTTCTACTGATCCTCTTTACTTCAGCTTGTGTTTAAGCAAAAAATCAGACCTAGACACTCGGATTGGAGCATCCCTAGTTTCCATGGGAATCTTTCCATCTATTGTTGGGTTCTGGGTTCAGAACGTGAACCCTGCACTGGTGTGCTGCTGTCATACTGGAACCAGAAGCCATGAAGTACTGACCACATCTCTGCTTGGGTATCCACAAACACCACAGCTAGAACCAGATTGTTAATCGTGGCTAAGGCTTGGGATAAAAACGCATCGATGGACCAGTAAGACCAGTACCTGAGGCTCTGTGAAGAACCAGAATCCAGGTAAGACCACTGGTCCAGGTTCTGGCTTTGACGTGATTCTTCCACCATCAAGACCAGAACTAGCATCTATTTCCATGGAGTAGCTGTAGCTGCAGCGGGACATCAGGTCCCAGAGCTGAGCTTCTCCAAACAAGAACCACTGTCCAGGATAGTAGAACCATCAGATGTGGTGCTGGTTTTAGTGGAACCCCAGAACTTTGTTCTGTGTCCGTGGCTTCAGCAGAACTTCTGGCCATGGCCTTAGCAAAACCATTTATACCAGTAGCTCCAGCTGTGATTCCAGTTGTTGTAAATTCAGCTCCAGTTGACCGATTATCTAGAACTGGTCAGGTTGAAGGTGTTGGAGGGTTTTCCAGTCCAGTTGTGTGCTTTTAGGCTGCTTCAGCAGTTCCAAGGGTCAAACTAAAGTGGTCAAAGGCCGACGTTCATCCGGAGGGTGTGTGTAGCACCACGAGAAGTCCACTTTGACCCAGTTTAACCAGTTTGATGTCAACGATCCTTTACTGGCTTCCCCGCTGACCCAGCCGGTCCGTTCTGGTCATAAGCGGCTGATTCCAGATTGATCCAGTTCTAGTCTGCTATAAGGAGCTATTGGTGACCTGCCCAACCCCCAACACGTCTCCAGGCTGGTTCCACTTGATGGGACCACAGTCTTCTGCGTGTTCGGCAGACACCTCTGAGGGTCCCACCTCGCTGCTGATTGGCTGAGGGGAGTGCCTGCTGTTGGTGAGGCCGTCATTGTGGTTGGCCAGCGGGGCGGAGTTGGAGGAGGAGGGGTTTCGGCTGATGACCAGTTCCAACCGGTCTGGAGATTCAGCGATGAGCGGAACAATGAGGCAGCAATCAAAGTCTCTGGTCCGGACGTGGTTGATCTAAGAGGACATGGTGGTTAAAACCAGGCTTGGATGGGGAATAGTTAGACAATCACTGCCGAGTAGAAGTATTCACGCCCTTACAGATTTCTTCTGTTCAGGGTTTAGTTTTCACACCTGAATGTTTCAGTTATTCATCCAAACCAACCTGGTGTTTCATGAAAATAAGTAAGGATAATTGCCTTTCCAAATGAAGCCAGGAAGGTATGAATTAGTTCTCCTAAAAAATAATTAAATAAGTTCATTTATATAGCGTCAATTCACAACACATGGCACCTCAAGGCACTTTACAGTTCACCATTTAAAGTTTTCTACCTAAGGGAAACCAGTTTATTGCATCGACTAATTGACTCGAAGGCAATCCCTCACACTAAGCATGCTTGTAGCGACAGTGGAGAGGAAAAGCTCCCTTTTAACAGGAAGAAACCTCCATCAGAGCCAGGCTCAGTGTGAGCGGCAAAATAAGATCATTAAAATCTGAAACCTTAGAGGATTTCTAGCGGTAAAAAGATTGGAGATTTTCCAAAGGTTCTGTCTGCGTTTCTGTACCTGTAGTATTCGGTCATAGGCACGGAGGCCGCCCCGCTCCGCCGGGCCACCCGGTCGAATGTTGTTTACATAAACTCCACGATCCAACAGCCCATCAGAAACACTGAATCCAAAGTCCTCCAGTTCTGAGGCCTTCTCCAAAGTGAGCTGCAAATGAAATCAACACAGGGTTAAAACTCACCGCAGTCTCAGTGGACTGCAGCACCATCAAGGGAATATTAGTCACCTTATGGAGTTCTACAGGGTTCTGGTTTAGGATGTCGTTCACTTCTTGCCTCATCTTTTTCATGGCAAAGGCTCTGCGCTGGGGGTCGGAGGGTAAGGTGTTGGAGCGAGGGTTGACCTGAGGAAACCAGGAGAACATTGAAGAAAAAAGCAGAGACGAAGATACTATGATGAAAAAAAACTCTCCGGGTACCAGTGTTTTCGTCAAGAATGACGATGTCGAAACCATTTCATTGAAGCTCTTTTTTTTCAATGACGATAATGAACACTCATGAGCTAAACATGGATCTTTGACGACTAAAACATGAGTAGTCATAGGTTTCGAGTTTTCGTCAACAAGACGAGAATAAATAAAAAATAGTGGGTCGGCGGTCAGACGTTTCAAATGCATCATTGAGCTGTAATCAGCAAAGCAATATCAGCGTGCTGCTGCGTTCTGTTTGAACACGCAGCCCACCTGCCGCAGTATAGTACATGCTGCAGGAGCACAGATGGATCATGGCAGCGGTGGCGGCAGGGTCTGAGAACCACGGTTACTGCGCGCTCAACGCTGACAAATTCTGCTGCGATCTTCCCTCTGTGCTTATGCAAAAATGCGTCTTTGTGTGTGGAGCTCCGAGTCTGCGCTTCTCGCTCCACTCTAGTGGTTCACTCTCAGCAGCATGGCTCTTCCTGCTCTCGCTACTTAATAAACTATGTGGCTGATCATCCTCTGCCAAGCATAAAAAATCCCTTTGTCTAACTTATCAAGATTTTATTTTGTAATTTCTACGAAAAGGATTCCCTAAATTATATTGAAATAAAATATTTCATTGAATTTACTGTTGGATGAAGAGCCTGATGAAAAGGTACATAGATCTTTGAATATTTCTCTCATTGTTCTCGTTTTTATCTATTTAAATATGATGCAAATGTTTCTGTGTATTGTCATTAAAACGTTTTTTGTTTCTTTTAAATATGTCAACATTTTAGTTAGCATATTCATTGAATTTAGCTCTGGATTGCCATGGCATTACAAGGCAGTTAATGTTGTTCTCTCTGTATTTTTTTATATCAAAGCCCTTTAAATTTAAATCTACTTTGACCCCTGAGCAGCAGAAACTAAGGGGTAAATTGTCAGAAATAAAGCCAAACTTGCCAAAGTAGAAAGAAGAATGTTTTTGTTATTTGCTTTTTTGGAGCAATGAAGACTTTATAGATCTTTGTGTAAAGCATAATTCATAGTAGTTATTCATAGTAGGTGGTGCTTTACTTTGGAAACCTTTTGTGTTTAAAGCCATTCCTTTATTGTATGTTTTGTCATCTTGTCTGTCTGCTATATTCACCAATATAATGTGTTGAAATAGATCTGCTATTTTCACAACTTTTGTGAGACACTTTTTTTTATAAAGTACAGGAATAATTAATAAAAATGTTTATTTGAATTCTATAAATCAAAGTTTTCTGCCAGCAGCAATGATGAACTGCACGGCAGCATTCTATACCCAGCTATTGTAGCATCTAGGCTAGAGCTGTCAGTCTGGTAAAGAATCAGGTTGTTACTTGAAATTGTAAAGGTTCACTTTTTTTTTTGTAACAAAACTTACTAAAACCTTTTTAAGTTTTAGCTGACTAAAACCGACTAAAACTAGCACATGTCGTAATGACTAAAATGTGATTAAGAGTAGTAATAGTTTTCGTCCTGTAGACTAAGACTAAATGTAAGATGGCTGTCTGAAACAACACGGCCGGGTACCTGGGGTTTGGATCTATTTCGCTCCTGGAAGCTTGACTGACGACCAAGGGTGCTGCGCAGAGGGGTGGGGTCATGGTTCAGACTGAGCGTGGAACCGGACATGATGGTGGCCTGGAGCCAAGGGGAGAAAACCAGCAGATTTTAGTAACATTAAAACCAATGAGAGACACATCAAATGTCTTGTTAGAGGATGCTCAACCTTTATTAGAACAATGACTTTTAGTTTGTAATGTTAAATATGATCAAAAGCCAGATGCAGAAACACAAAGATCAACATTTTAACCTCTGCTGGAATTGACTTCTGTTATGGTCACTGATATAGTCTGCTGTCATCTGCATAGAGGCTGATTAAACCGGCATCCAACGCCCACTTTAAAATAATTTCCAGGTGGGAATAAGGCGCCTTCTTTCGTCTCCATGGGATTAGAGGAATGATTGATGTGGTGAGGAGGGTAAAGGATAACCACCCTGTTATGTCCGTAACTAACCAAGCAGGGGAGTCACAGGCCCCCATCGGGTGAAGCTAGCTGTGACAACATACGGATCGACTAGTCAGCCAAGAGGACTTGGATCACTTCTGAAGAGGATTCATTGAGGTTTGTTTTCATCCCTTGAAATAAGATTTCTGTTGAAACTAAAATCATCTATTGTTGGCTTTGCTAACCGTTAGTATCATAACATCTGTTGGCTAATTAAAAACTGCACCACACACTATCCAGATGATCTAATCCTCAGTACTAATTAATCCAAGGGGCAAAATTCTTCCTACTTTAAGGGTTCAACTGGTAAAAGTTAACAAAGCTCAGAAAGATTTGACTGCAATCTCAAAATAATCCAAACAGATCTTTTCAGGTGAAGCCTCGCATACAAATGCAAACAGGTGATTGATCAGGTTTATCCAAGAGAGAAAACCTTAGAGAAGAGATGCCACCTGGTGGCAGGAAGTGGAAGCTGTCACCAGCTTTTTTCCAGCTTTTTATTGTCACTATACTGTCACAAGTACAGCACAACAAAATCCATTCCCTGCATTTAACCCATTCCCTTGGGGAGCAGTGGGCTGGCACTGTGCGGCGCCCAGTGTGGGGTTAAGGGTCTTGCTCAAAGACCCAGAGTGGCAGTCTGTGGGAGTGGAGCTCGAACCCAGAACCTCAGGATTCCAGGCTCTATGCCCAAACCACTAGGCCACCATTCCCCATCTTCTGCTGGGTACTATGGATCCTTCCAAAAAACGAAAATTAAAAACAATCCACTGGACTTTGTTTCCAAGTTTGAAGACGTTTCACTTCCCATCCAGGAAGCTTTTTCAGTTCATAATGTCAGGAATAGTGTTGAGTTCGAGGTTTTATACAGTAGCTAAACAAAGACTTGCTTTTGTTTTGAAAACATGCAAATAGAAATGGACCAATGGGTCCACCCCTTTGGAATGGAGGTTGTTTGGCTTTTTTGTAAGCCTGTAATGCCCCATACCCGTCTGAAATGGAGTCGATAAAGGGAATTGTTGGCCTGGCAGAATAGGCGAGGTCCTGTAAAGGGGGTGGGGCTGCGATGACAGCGGGAAGGGTTTTAGCTCAATTGCTGCATTGTAGGTTTTTGAAAGCTCAAACCTGAGTCCACCCCTCTGTTCAAAGTTTTCTTTTTCTTTCTTTCGGGTATTGGGAATTGCAGGCTAACAAAAGAAGCCAAACGACCCCCATTCCAAAGGCGTGGACCCCTTTATCCTTTTTGTATTTGCATGTTTTCAAAACAAAAACAATGTTTTGATGGGCTACTTTATATAACCTTGAGGTCAACACTATTCCTGACATTTTGAATTGAAAAAGCTTCTTGAATTGGAAGTGAAACCTCTTCAAGCTTGGAAACAAAGTCCAGTGGATTGTTTTTAATTGTCTTTTTTTGGAATGACTATGACTTGGATGACTAAGAATCTTCACCAGCTTATGGTCCTATGGATCAGTGGTATAAAAGAAGATATTAGAAAACGGAGGGAAGTCTGGGCATCATTGCTGAGGCTGCTGCCATCACGGATTCCTCCTCATATCAGGAAATTGGCCAATATCTGATCCTAAAATCCAAACCAAAGAAGATTTTCCAGAGGAATAAAACCATTTTGAGATTGCAGAACTCAATTAAACTGTTTTTTTTTGTGTGTGTTGAGCTTATGTGGTTTATTTCAGTTTCTTTCATTGCAAACAGCTGCTAGTTTTCTTTTGCTCTGAGAAGATGAATGGATTTAGTGGAACTTTAGGCAACAGAAGAGGTTCAGCTGCTGCTATAGCCATGTTATAAACACAGTGCGATGCTAGCATCAGCAATGTTTACATCTGTATAGCTTGGGACTCCAGCAGAGAACAGCTTCGGATTTCTTTCTGCAACCTGCAGACAGATGCTGGGGTATACTGCAGGCTTAGGTTTTCCCAGCCTCTTAATTTCTCATATATCTTTAAATATACCGCTTTGCCACAGTCACACCTGATGTTTTCTCTCCAAGCTTCCTCTCATCACCCAACGTATCAAAATCAAGGACTCACACATGCACATCTAGCAAAAACAAACTCCCCGTCAGGCCTGGTGCAAGCCAACCCAGCATGCCGTGATCAAACCGCCATGCCTGGTGCAACAAAGACGTCATCACTGCGATAAGTGACCCATTTAAAACCAGTTAAAACCAGTCCGGCGGCAGTAAAAGGCCAGTTAGGTAGACGGACGAGGACAGGGCGGTTAGTAGAGGAGTGGAAGGAAGGATACCAGCGTGAGGAGGTGGGTCTTCTTTCCAGAATCCTGGAAGAGAAGCAGCCGTTTCTTTCTTTAACTGACTGATTTCCAAAGATGTAAACATGTAAATCACTTAGGAGAAGTTACTAAAAATAAAATTATTACCATCATTCAGGTTCTATTGAGAGTTCAAGATACACATGAATGAATTAAAAATGAATTAAAGCTTAAACAGAAGCATATGATCAGCAATATCTTACCAAATAAGTTGCTTGGTAGCAGAAATGTCTTAGTTTTGACTGATTTAGCTGAATTTATGGGAACAAACTGTGTCTTTGTAATGGGATGCTGGTTTCACCACCTAAAAACCTAATTTAAAAAGATTCTTTACTGTGTTGACTGTTTTTTGTGCTAAAAACATCTGTGGTTTATCTGTGGAGCCTTTTCCCTCTAAACAACATACAGGTGAGAATATGAGCAAATTAATGTGTGAGGGCTGCAGGAAAAAAATGAAAAGCATCAGAAAGAGGAAGAACTAGAGGGAGAGCTTTCATCTGCGTCTGTTCAGAGTCAGAAGAATCTGTGAAAAACCAGGAATCTGTTTGGGAATCTTTTAAAACAGGCTTGTTTTCTGTTTAAGCATCAGCAACCTGAAGTCCTGAATGGTTTCAGTTAGAGGTCGACAAAAAGAGTGATGTTCAGATTAGGAGAACTGGTGAATCTGTCCAGCATGTGAAAGTGTTCAGGCCGGTGGAGGCTGGCCAATAGAGGGCGCTAGGGCGCCGTCCCATCCAACCAATGACCCTGATTAAGATTCTTAAGAATAATATATTCTTTTTTAATTTAATTTTAAATTAAAATTCAAAATATTTTGAAATACATATTTTTTAGATGTGCAAGATAAATATTTAATCTCTAATGACTAGTAAAGCGTCATTCCATTTTTAGTCCAATTGGTAACGTATTTCTACCCTAGGGAGCAAAAATCTTTGCCCATTGACTCTCTTTAAAAGTCGTACATGCGCAGCAGCTCCTCTGCAATAAAAAGGTCGAGTCATGGGAGTTGGAGACGCATTGTAGAGAGAGACAGAAATGCTGCAAGAAACATCTTTTTCCAGGACCTGGTTTAGCAAGAAGGCTTGGCTAACTGCATGTAGTGAGGCTAAAGCTTTATCCCGCTTTCCCTGCCTCCTTTTTCAAATGTCAGGATCTGATCCAGCATGGATAAAGACAGGTAGGACTGATTTAAAGAACTTTGTAGAAAAGGCAAAGAAGAATAAACAACCTGGGATTCACATGGAAAATAATAGAATATAGTGTACTTTTTCTACATGTTTGTTAATTTGTCTAGTTCTCTTAAATAAACACATTCTCAGAAAATAGTTTTTATATATTAAAAAGTATAAATCTGACCAATAACTTCTCCATTATTAAATGAATACATTATTTTTTTAGGTTTGTGAAACAATACTGGACCATGTAAAACACAGATTTATCTTCACAAAGCCTTAGAAGGGAAAGATTTATGTACAAAAAGTAAACCTGCACATGAAATTCAGTTTTGTTTTTATAAAGTGTTTTTATAATGTTTTTTGTTGTTGGCATTGATATAAATATACTAGTGTGATAAGTTAGTATACGTTTGATTGGTTTTTTGGTATATTTTTTAATTTATAGCCCCCATTGGAGAAAACTCCACCAGCCGCCACTGGTTCAGACTGTAGGAAGCTGTTAATAGGAAAACAGAAAGTTTAGGATGAGGAAAATTCATCATTGGCTGAGAATCTGATGAGCATCAGAAGACAGCAAAGTCCTGGAATTAAGAAAAAACTGAAAAGACACAGGAAACACGTATGAAGATGGTTTGAATGGCTGGGAGGCTCAACCATTAAACAAAATACAGAAAGAAACTAGGAATAGACAAAAGTATTTTATTTCATCAATAAAACTTTAATTCCCTTTCACAATAAAAGGCGTTTTGGATATTTTTACCTCAAGCTCTCGAAGGATGCCGCTTTGACCACAGGTCTCTAAATCCTCCAGCGCCTGAGACCAGAAGTTCTCCTCCTGGTCGGGTTCAGTGCCGTCGTGACCCACAGTGAACCTGACGGGAAAAGGTCAGAGCGTCAGCCAATCAGACGAAGAACAGCCCGACTCACACAGAAACACACAGCGGACAGCGCATGCTGGCGAGAGTTCGTTCAACAGGGGAACATGTGCAAAGACGGTCCACACATCCACTAGAGATATGTGTCAGAAAGGTCAAAGGTCACCAGTTGAGGGTGGACAGGGCACTGTGTTTGGGTGGGGTCAAAGGTCAGTTTGCTACCTGCTGTCAGTGATTAATCCGCTGGGCAGATTAGAGGCGCTGCAGACAGAGACAGACTGCTGTTACCTCACAGCCTGAGAGGAAAACATCAACCAGCTTCAGTCGCTTCAGACCAAAAAACAGCTCAGAGTCAGGATTCCTGACCCGGTTCAGGTCCAAACTTCACACCTGTCAGGTCCCATCCTCTAATGGTCCGCTCACACCAACAGCAATGAGACAAGCTGATTTAAATGCAGCCTGAAGAGGCGTCTGACACGGGAGCTCACAAATTTGAACTTTAGCAGCTCGGAGCATCAACCAATCAGAGAAGCTTCTGTGAGATAGACACTACATGCAAGACATGATTACTTCTACAGAGCTGTTAGCATAAAAATAATGAATAAAACGGTTAAACCTCTTCAAAAAGCCAGGAGAATGGTTTCATTTTGTACAAGGAAAAGAGGGCGAGCTCTGATCATTATTACGCCATTTTCTTACTGAAGCGTGGAGAAACTGTTTATAAATACCTACATTAACTAAATATGTTAAAACCTGCCAACGGTTTGTAACCGTAAATCTAATAAACTGCTCATATGCTGCTCTGAACAGGAAGATGATATTTTAGTAGGATCATAATCCTGATGAACTGACTGAACAGATGATGTCTGAAGGTCTAATTTCTCACTCAAAATGTCTTCAAACTATTTTTTCAAACTTATCAAAGCAAGTAAAGCTGGGATGCTCGATGGGTGGCACCAGCAGAATAGAGCTGCTCAACAAGCAGAGCTTCCGGCCTGAAAATACAGAATTATACAAGTTAAGGAGTTTGGTGTGAACGCAGCATCAGAGCTCTGAGGAAGGATATTCTATAAACTATTTTATGACATATTTAGAAAATAACGCAATAGGATGAGGAAGGAAGGAAGGAAGGAAGGAAGGAAGGAAGGAAGGAAGGAAGGAAGGAAGGAAGGAAGGAAGGAAGGAAGGAAGGAAGGAAGGAAGGCCTAAGAAAGATAGGAAGGAAGGCCTGAGAAAGAAAGGAAGGAAGGAAGGCCTGAGAAAGAAAGGAAGGAAGGCCTAAGAAAGAAAGAAAGGAAGGAAGGCCTGAGAAAGAAAGGAAGGAAGGAAGGCCTAAAAGAAAGGAAGGAAGGAAGGCCCGAGAAAGAAAGGAAGGAAGGAAGGACTAAAAGAAAGGAAGTAAGGAAGGCCTAAGAAAGAAAGGAAGGAAGGAAGTAAGGAAGGCCTAAGAAAGAAAGGAAGGAAGGAAGTAAGGAAGGCCTAAGAAAGAAAGGAAGGAAGAAAGTAAGGAAGGCCTAAGAAAGAAAGGAAGGAAGAAAGGAAGGAAGGCCTAAGGAAGAAAGGAAGGAAGGAAGAAAGGCCTAAGAAAGAAAGGAAGGAAGGAAGGCCTAAGAAAGAAAGAAAGGAAGGAAGGCCTAAGAAAGAAAGGAAGGAAGGCCTAAGGAAAGAAGGAAGGAAGAAAGGCCTAAGAAAGAAAGGAAGGAAGGAAGGCCTAAGAAAGAAAGAAAGGAAGGAAGGCCTAAGAAAGAAAGGAAGGAAGGAAGGCCTACGGAAAGAAGGAAGGACTAAGAAAGGAAGGAAGGCCTAAGGAAAGAAGGAAGGAAGGCCTAAGGAAGAAAGGAAGGAAGGCCAAAGGAAAGAAGGAAGGAAGGCCTAAGGAAGAAAGGAAGGAAGGCCTAAGGAAGAAAGGAAGGAAGGCCTAAGGAAAGAAGGAAGGAAGGCCTAAGGAAAATAGGAAGGAAGGCCTAAGGAAGAAAGGAAGGAAGGAAGCAAGGACTACGTTAGGAAGGAAGGAAGCGACCTTAACAGAGACTCTGCTCACCCTCCCAGCGGTGGGCGGTCCCAGTCGTCGTCACTCAGCCCCAGATCTGACAGCGGATTGGCTCTCTGCCGGGCAGACGATTGGCTGTTGTTTGAGTTGACTCCCCGCCACTCATGGAAGCTGTAAGGTGACGACTGGAACGGCGGCGCTAGACCAACAGAGAAAGGTTAAATATGTCAGAAGCGACAGCAGGACGGAGCGTGAAGATTAGGGCTGGATGGCGTACCCGCGGTGGTGAAGCTGCTGTCCATGTTGGATCCGTCCCAGGAGTCCACGGCGCTGTCCACAGACGGCAGCGTGCTGAACGCTCTTTGATTGGACGGAGGCAACACAGTGATGACAGGCTCCTCCTCCCCATCCTGGCTCTCCAGGTTAAGCCCCGCCCCCAGCCCTGGCCCAATCACACAGGACTTTGGGCTTGACACTGCAGATAGATGAGATGTTATCAGATAATTTTTTATTGCCAGTTCATGTTTAAAACATAAACAATGTTTGCTCATTGAAAAAAAAATATCTCTTATTAATTTCATTTTACATACATTGATTTATGAGGGCTGAGATTTATTCATTCAGGCCTCAGAGCTGCAGGGCTACAAGCTGTAAGGGTTATTTATCCTATTAGGGATAAAAATAATGGTTCTCATAACAAGCTGGACTGTTTCTGAGGGATTATTTTATAACATGTTATATCCAACCGTCTGTCTTTGTTTGGGTAACGATATGTTGAGACATTTACAGCCTTTCTGCAGGGTTTTAATTAGAGAGAGACAAATGCTGTCTAGATCAGAACAGAGCAGAACGTCACGCTGTAAGGGCCGTTTGATTGTCTTGTTCTCTTTTTAGTTTGCAAAGTTCCAGCTTAGTGAAATCCATTTATCACTTTTTATTTAACTGGACTGTATAGAAATCTACCTTTTTCCCACAGCACTCATACATCCAACTGGAGAAATCTTTAGATATTTTATATATGAATTTTTTTTTATGAATTGACACTTAAAAAACATCCAATAATGAGTGAGCCTCCATACTTACGCTCTCCCTGCTTCTTGATCTTCAGAGTGACCGTTTCTCCCGCCTGCTGCAGCAGACTGATGGCTTCGCTCAGAGGTTTCCCCTTCAGGCTGCTGCTGTTGATCGCCAGGATACGGTCGCCAACATGGATCGCTCCCGTCCTGCAGGACAAAAAAAAAAAACACTGAAGCACTTTGTCTTACTAAGAGTCCAGTTTTTAAAATTCATGACAAGAAGATTTGTTATAACTTATTGATCGCTGCTAAATATTTAAACTTTATTTGAAATCACAAGAATGGCAAAAAAAAAAAAAGAATCCCATCTTGGTTTGAGGATCTGGGATGAAACTTTTGTCTCCAGAACAACATGGAGGGAAATTATAGCCATGGTTAAAGTAGATTCATTAATAAACATTTGATTTAAAAGCTGAAGGTAAAAAAATGATCTAATTAGTGTTTGTGCCACATGAACCATGTTTGCAGGAAGTGGAAAGTACTAATATTTTAGGCTAATCAGCTGATAAGTGATGAACACGACGCTGAGGGCTGAGTTTTTATCTATTAATGAGACCAAAAATGTGGTTTTATTTTTGTCTTTTGTTGTGAAGCAAGATGTTAAAAGGTTTGTTAAAACTAGAAATTAAAAAGTTTCTAGTTTTAAACTAAGATAAAGCCTTTTATTTAAATTGAGACTTTACTGTGTAATTCTAAGCGTTTGAGTTTTTTTTTATATTTCAGTTTTAACTTGAGTTCTGATATTTTATTTCTGCTTTTTTAGAAAACTGAAACCACTTTCTTCCTCCTTTTGAATAAAATGTCAGAGAAATAACATGAGCCACAAAACTTTAAATCCTGAGAAAGAAAAGATGGGAAGAGTTTCAAAGAAACTCCTGTCTAAAATAGATTAAGAAATAAGTAAGAGGAAAACCTCCTACTTTGGCATTTTTTTAGGTTTTACTTTTTTCATTAAACGTTTGGTTAAAATAACAATTTAAATAATGACTAATGCTTTAATTATGAATAAAAAATTTCATTTCAAAGATCAGCTAAACCTATAGTTTAATGTTTTAGTATGCTTCATAAACAGCAGAGGGCGCCATTTCCCAGATAATGTAGAAATCAGACAGGCTCTCACCTTTTATCCCTGCCTTCATTTTCATTGTTTAACAAAAAAATTTTTTTTTCTGTTTTTTTTGGTTTAAGTGTTTTATCTACCTAACATATTTATTTTAATAAAACAATTACAAAAACATTATGATTAAAGGTATTTTAGATGACTTTGCATGAGCCCATTTCTCCTCATGCACGCTCTGTTTAAAAGTTGCTATTCTCAAAGCCCATACAAGCTTACTGTGCCTGAACGTCCACCCTAACCCATAAATCCCTCAATCACTATATAGAGCGGGGACTTTATAGTTAACTGACCATTCGGACAGATGATCACTGCTTTTTTCTCCCCGTTGGTCACGTAACTCCTCCTCCACTGCGCCTGCACCATCTTTATTATTAGTCACCGCTGTCGGGCTGCCAGGAGAACTCTCCTCGCAAAGCATTCTGGGATATATCTGCCTCTTTTGAAACCTTTCTTTTCTTCTCTTAAACTTCGTAGACACTTTTTCTGTTGCGACCCTCTGCCATTTTCAAAGAACCACTGTGAGAAAAGTGAGCTTCAATGACTGTCAGAAACCAAAGCTCACCACAATTAGCTGACAATTAGAAGGAGCACTTATTAAGATGATCCGCGCGGAAACAAAAGATCGTCGTTTATACCTTTAATCTCCCCCCTCTGGTTTAGTATCGTCATTGCTTAATTTACAGCTGATTACTTTGGATCATTTTCAATAGCTTTTCTTCTCTTCGCCTCAGGCTTGATAAGATGGTTTAATAACAATAATAAACAAGATGCTCACAAATGGCGACATTTTTACTTCAAAGAAAAAAAAATCCAGCTTTGTTTTCCATCTGTTTAGTTGTACTAAATGTACGTTAATTTTTTTTTTCTTTTTTTTGTAAACTGGGGAAATCCCTGTTATTATGTACTAGTAATCGGGTTCTTTAAAAGCTTGAAGAAACTCTGTTTGATTGACGTGTGGCAGAGTGGCGTTGCCTAAAATCTGATGTAATGACGTTTTCATGTTAGTCTACCTCTCAGCCAGCCCTCCTTTGCTCAGAGAGGAGATGATGATGGGGTCGAAGGGCTCCTCGGTGCCTGAGATGGTGATTCCTAATGGACCTCCGTACCTCTGCAGCTCTACTGTGTAGATGATGCTGCCGGAAACTTCCTGCTCATCTGGAACATCAGAAGATATTTATCTAATTAGATGCTGATTCACCATGTGGCTTAAAGACAGCAGTGAAATAAAAGGTCTGGAAGTGAAACTAAAATAAATGCTCCCCGCTACAGTGAGAAATCAATGAATAACGTCCACCATTCACAAAACACGCTCCATATTACACTATTGGTTCCTGACGCGTCAATCATGGTCGTCTGCTTGTATTTTTAATTCAGCTCCTCTATAATTTAATGCTGCATTTGCTTATAGAGCGAATCAACCAACACTAGAAAACAGGTCTGATCCTAAACCTCCAAAGATGAGCCGTGGTGTTTTCAGCTGCTATTCTAGAAAGGTATGTCTCGGTTTATAGGAGCTGATTAAATCTCGTACCTGAGTTGTCTTCGTCTTTGCGGATCTTCAATTTGACGAGTTCCTCGCACTGCTGGAGGATCTGAACGGCCTCCTCCATGGAGCAGTTCTCCACCCGGATGTTGTCGATGGCCAGCAGTTTGTCTCCCAGCTCCAACGTTCCTGTCCTGGTAGGAAAACATGGAGACTGTAAATCAGGAAATCTTTCCATTCCTTTTTTTTTGAATTTTTTTTCTAGAATTGAGGAGATGAGACAGTTTGCCAATGGAACAAGACAATTTACATTTGAAATAAGAAAAAATAATTGCATTTTCTTATTTTAAGTTATCTAATCATCTTATTTTAAGAGTAAAAGTAAATATTCCAATGGCAAATCATCTTATTAACGTACTCAAATTAAGCGAAATACACTTAATTTAAGAAATGTTGATTTATTTCTAGATAATTTTCAGTGTGAAACATCCTGAATGCTGCAGCTTCTTGATGCTTTACATCTATGAGTTAAATATGGCATGTTCTGCCACATCTGGTTGAAAATAACAAACAAAGGACAGACTCGGACCTGTTAGTCTATTTAACCAGAAACACAGCTGACACCATTTTAATGCAGCTTCACCAGCCGAATGTGTCCGCCTCACTTCCTGTTCACATCTAATCAAGCTTCCATGAGAAAAAAGCTGCTGTTGTGGCTGAGTTGAGGTTACCTGTGAGCGACGCTGCCTTTCTTGATGTCAGAGATGATCAGGGGGTCACCTGGTTTCCTGTTGGACGGAGCTTCAGAGGAACAAACACATGAGTGAACGGACCTGAATTTACTGATGAACTAATCCATGTTTTAGATCAGATGGATGAGGAACGCTCACAGCTGATGGTGATTCCCAGCTCCACTCCTGGTTTCTTTGGGAGCTTCACATGGAACGTCCCTGAACTGGGGATGACGGACTCTAGGGCAGAGAGAGGATTCATTTCGGTGGAGATTTTTTGCCCTTCTCAATATAAATAAACAAACAAGAAGAACAATTGTAATCCTGCAACAAAAGCAGATTAAGATGGGCGGATTTAACCACGTGAACCCTGTTATATCACAGCCATCTCCACCGCTCTGCCTGTAAAAGCCACACAATGTGTCTGTGAGTCATCTGGGACGGCTTGTTGTGTTGTTGTATTAAACTCGGATGTGGGTGGTTATTTATACCAGCCGGACGCGGTTCATTCACAAACAGCCCAGAAGCAGAACTCGGCACAGACTGTTATTCATCTGTCATCAGCAAACATCCCTGCAGACAGAAACCGGGCAAACCGCCTGCTCACCTGCCACATCGAACTCGATCTCCAGCGTGAGCTGCGCCGTGATGGACGAGTCTCTGAGCAGCTGGTTGGTTTCCTCCAAGGTCGAGTCTTCAGTCGGTACGCCGTTTATGGACAGGATCCTGTCCCCGATCTGCAAGATGCCACACCTGGACAAACACGTGCAAAGAGAGGAGCGGAGGCACATGAAGATAAATAATTACAGAAAGATTAACACTTTTCTAAGCGTATACGGATTTAACAGAGACTACTGACTGCATGTCATAAAAATAATCATAAAAAAAATGAAAAACAAGCAAAACAATGTCATTTAAAAATCATGTGGAAGTGAGCTTTAATTACCTTCAACTCTTTAGTTTTCATCTCTTATATAATTTCCATATTACAGTAAAAATACATAGAATTAATGCTGCAGCTCCAGAATAATTATCTAGTGATATCCTGTCTTTGCAAACATTCAGATTATCATAAAAAAAATGTAATGAAACCAAATGCTAATGCTAATATTAGCCTAATAAAACCACAATTAACATGTTTAGCGCTAACTAACTGCTAAAGATGGCTAAACGGAAGCATGAGTCTCCATTCTTCACATTAGAGAGATTTTGACATTTCTAAAGGCTGTTCAGTGTTAAATTCTTTTATATGTCATTGTAGGATGACGTGTGAAATGACGTGTTTCTACTGGTTTCACAAAAATAGAGTAAAAGATTTTAGCTGTTTCTCCAGTTCACTTTGATAAACCAGAATGAAGGTCTAGCTGCTTTGAGTTCAAACTGCTGGTGAGAATTTCCAGCTGTTAGGATAAAAAAATTATTCATGATTATTGAAATAATCGTTAACTAATTTGTTTAAAAATAGAGTCGTTGCTTAAAGTAAACTCTAAAACACGCTGTTAGGTGGAACATGAAACCTATACTGTAAATATATACAATAGCTCCATTAGATGAAACTGTTTTCTTGGAATCTGTAACCCCATTTAATTCCATTACAAAGTTTATTCTATTTTTCTTTAATTGCTTGAAAAGCATAATTTTTCTGCTTCATATCTATTTTATAACCAAAAAGCATCAGATCTAAATAATTACATCGTAAATTGTCTAACTCCAAACATCAAAATACTAAAGACTAGTATTTAATGCTTTCAGGTGTTAAGACCTTTTAATTAACGGATTAAATAATTACTAACAAACACCTTAAATTCCATAATCGATCCTCTAGTTGTATTTAAAGTTTCAACATAAAAATTATTCAAACATTTTATTTCATAGTTACTTTAATTAATCAGTAACTGAGTTTATAAATCAGAAGTAACTAGTAACTAAAACTAGTTACTCTGTTTAAGTAACGTTACCAGCACTGAATAACATTAGCTGTCCACTGTTAGAGGAATAATGTTAGCGCGCTAGTTATACTAGCATGCTAATGCTAACATGCTAATTTTAATATGGGAAACAGATATCTTGGTGTTTGCAGGTTAGTTCAATCTAGAACTAATGCTTAAAGCAGTGTCTGTTAGAAAAAAGTTTTAATAGCAGCAGTGGTGGGATTATTTATACTTACTGATGCTTAAACTACAGTAGTGTAATTATTATGCTAACATTATTATGAATAAGTGAGAAGGATTCAACAAAAACCAACTGAGAACAATAATAAAGTTAACCAAACCTAATAGCATTGCTATTAGCATCTATAAATAAATTGAGTGCATATCAGAGGAATGGACTCCTTTCTCACTGGGCTGAGCTGGATGTCGACCTGACGCTACAGATGTGGTGAATGTTAATGGAATATAACAGATATTTATCCTGTTAAGCAATGTTTTGGCCTGAGGTGTTACTTACTAATGCCTTTTAATCCCTACAAAAATTAACAGGCAATGTTTAAAAATGTTTGTGGGCGGAAAACTTAGATTTCTCTTATTTTATATATTCATTTATTCTATTTACTTACTATAAAAATGTTCATTTAGTCTGTTTCACCTGGAAGGCCACACAATTCTCCAGGGAGAGGGTGTTTGTAGACCAGACAGAGCTTCTTCCCTAAACAAGCCAGATTCTTTCTCAAAGATTATTCATAACATGTTACTGTTAAACCAAAGTGTCTGTAATTTTTTTTTTTCACTCTGACTATTTTCCATTGTTGTAAGGGGAACGCACTCTGTCCAGGCAGAACAGGGCTGAATACAGAGCAGTAAGGGCTGTATTTGCAAAGATATGAAAATAAAGTGCAGACCGAGTGAAATCCATCGATCTGCGTTTATTTAACTTGGGTGAATAGTTTAATACTTTTTCCCACTATACATTTTTAACTTTACTTATTACGTCCATTATGTTTAATCTGAGTGGTTCACCTCTCAGCGGGGCTGTCTGGGTCGATGTAGGCGATGAGAGGAGGTGACGACAAAGTTTCCGTGGCAAAAACTCCACCTTGAAGCTGCAGGCCAAACCCCATGATGCCGTCGCCTAGCAACGTCACCTCTGTAGTTTCTGTGTGGACCACCTGACCGGCGAGGCCGACGGTGCTGGATGCCAAGGACACTGCAGAGGAACATCACAGTCCAGTCACTGCCGACACGTTTCCTTTCACACAGTTTAGTTTTTCATGGCAGGAAGACTCACAGGAACTCTTGAAGTCCTTCTTCTTGGCCTTCCTCCTCATCATCGTGCTGCGAGGACTCGTGGGATACATGTTCCTGGGCAGTGTGCTCATATTGAGGGAGGAGAGACTGTAGGCTGACATGGAGCCGGGAGAAAACGAATGGCCGAGAGCTGCAGAGAGATGGAGACGGAGGACATGAGAGGACATCAGAGAGACGGAGGACATGAGAGACGCTCTCTTACTCAAAACAAAAACAAAAACAAGGAGAAAAGACGTACAGGGGTTGTTTGTATGGCGGTTGTGGGATCTGGCGCCTGATTGGTCAGGGTGGTAGGTGTTGTAGTGGTAGGGAGGGAGGATGGGGGCGGAGCCTCCGGTTTCCCAGGGAAGGGGGCGGGGACTACGCTGGACCTTGACTGCACATGCATACGAGCACGAACATGCACACGGAGCAGGAAGGTAAGGTGAACCCAAAAGGAGAGAACAGAGGTCAGCCGCCAGGATGGGTTTCAACAAAAAGCAACACCTTTTCATTTCAGCCCATTTAATCCTAGAAACATGTCATAGAGGGAGAACTGCCTCCCATTTCACCGTTATTAAGTCATCAGACACTTTTCAGCCTCCGTACATCTCCTTTAAAATCACTCTGAGGTTCATTCAAGGCCTCTTCAGAGCGCTGAGTTTGGTCAGGGCTCATTAAGCTTGATGTCTGTGTGTTTACACCCTGCTGGGGGACGTTCCACTCCACCTCATAAACACTTTGCTTCTGTAGAGCTCTGACACATTAATTGTAGCTCCGACCTGCCTTTAGGAGGTGTTGGTTTTAAATCTAAAGGCGTTCTAACATCTTTTCTGATTGGAATGGAAGGGAGGCTGCGGTGTTGCTGCGTTACCGTGCTGCGGTGCGTTCAGGGCCGGTCGCGCCTGGTGTTGTGGCAGGATCTCCATGCGGACGGTTTGACAGGAAGCAGAGAGCAGCTGAGTGGCTTCAGCCAGAGAACAAAACTCCATCGACTTCCCATCAACAGACAGGATGTGATCTCCTGCATGGAGAGCTCCACACCTGGGTGTAAAGACCATGAGTGTATAAACGTCTAAAATCTATATGAATACATTCATAGGACTATTTTTATCTAAGAGCAGAAGGTAAAGACAGTTTAAATAACAGCTCAAAATTAGCATAAATATATATAAAGTTGTAAACTGTATTCAAGGAAGAGGGTCAAACTGGTACCTGTCTGCTATACTGGCTGGTTTGACCTTGTCAATGATGATGACCTGCTTGCCGCAGAACATGGAGGTGGACAGAGCCACGCCCAGGCTGGATCCTGCCGCCTTGGCAACCTCAACCAGCAGTGGCCCCGACGCCGTGGCAACGGAATCTATGAGAAAGCAAAAACAAAGTCCTTGATATTCACTGGTTGGCGTTCCACAGGGTTATGTCCTCGGTGACGTTACATTCCTACAGTCAAAATGGTTTTATGATAATAGCTTTTAAAGTCGTAGGGAAACCGTCGTTCAAACCATTTTTTCTGAATTCTCCCGAGTGGTGCCCGAGTTTACACGAGGGAATAAAGTGGATTTGATTGGTCGTCTATCAAGGGGCGGGGTTGTTGTGGTGGAAGGTTTGCAAAAATTTTGGTTGTGGCCGGTTTCTATGAAGCATCTTGCTAACCAGTTAGCAACTTAGTGCTAGTAGGTTCCCAATGAGAAATTCCATTGGGACCAAGTAGCACTAAATTGGTGACTTAGAAACGAAGCTGTCAAGGAACGCTATGGACAGAGGAAACATGCAAGAGGAGGAGAGTTTAGTGTCGGAGGTCGTGGATGAGTCTCCTCCGTCATACATTTTTTATTTAGAGGAGGTAAGCGGGGACAAAGATGTTGTGGAAGAGGACGCCAGGGCGGCAGAAGCTTGGTTTGGTGTAGAAGGCTTACAGCCGTACATGTTTGAGCCCTTGCCTCGCAACGCTGCCAGTTCTGTTAACTCTACGCCTGCTGAAGACACAGACGTCCATCCCCGTGAACACTGGGACGGAACTCAATGGGAAAGTAGATTCTTATTTCTTATTTCAACCGTTGCGTATATTAGCTGCGACACATGAATCAAAATGCTATGACTGAAAAAAATTGATTGACAGATGACTGTGATATATGATTGGCCGAATTTAGGTGTTCAAGCTGACGTATGACTAACTGGCCTGCATAAGATAACGAAAAAAATCCCACAGATTTTAAGACAGGGTTTGATTTTAAAAACAGAAATTTTCTAAATTTTGGGACAATATGGTCTGATAAAGAGTACATTTATATACATGTTTAAGACAGAATGATTTGACATTTAAATATGATTTTGGTACGACTTTAAAGTTACTTTTCCAGAACAAAACTTAATAAATTTATTTCTATCTAACAAAAAACAATTGGGCTGGATCGCAGTAATGAAAATATAGAAGTTATAATGAGGTTTATTCTATGTGGAAAATAGGTACTTCATATGGATTATCTCTAGGACGACAAAAACATAATTCAGTTAGATGAATTTGCAAACATAACAGGAAAGACAAATCTTTTAAAGCTGCTAAAACATATATATATATATATATATATATATATATATATATATATATATATATATATATATATATATATAAAAAGGCTGAACGCTGATTAACTGTTAACTGACCCATCACGGACACGTCATAATCTATCAGCAGAGTGGCCTCCTGGCCGCACTGCTTCAGGATGCTCATAGCCTCTGACAGCGTGCTGCCATGGAGACGAATCCCATCTATGCTTAGCAACCGGTCGCCGGGCTTGATGGTCCCCTCTCTGCAGAACAACAGCAGGTTTTAGTTTGATAGAAGCAGGAAAAAGTCCGGGAGCTGATGGAGTCGGTACCTCTCGGCTGGTCCGCCCGGCCTGATGGTCGTTATGACGATGGGGCGGGTCTTGTTGCGGTCCTCATGTGTCCCACCTGTAAGATTGTGTTACTTTGTTATTTGCTTTTTCTTTTTCCTCACCAGATGAACTCACAAACCGATCCAAGCTCACCTCTGATGACGAAGCCGAAGCTGTTTCCTTCTTTGTGAAGCGTCACTTCCAGGTTCTTAAAAATGACCCCTGACCCCTGCACGGCTGCAGCAGAAACACAGCGGTATCAGTCATCGTCTGCAGCCACGTATTAAACATACAGTGCCGTGCTGTTAATACCCTGTTGGGCTTTTTCTAACTACAATAAAGTTAACAACAAACTTTACTGTATTTTGTTGGGATTTTAACAGGCAAACCGAAATAAAGATAAATAATTGATATGTTTTAATATTTCCTTGCAAAAAAAAATCTGAAACGTGTGGCATGCATTGAGCCTCCTGAGTCGGTCGTGTACAGACTCAACTATCGCTGCAGATCCTGTTCAGGAGTTTGTCTTTACTAGCTTAGCTAATCCACTCAGATATTTCCCCATTCTGTGTGAAATAGTTGTAGTTCAGTCAGACCGGATGAGGAGCATCATTTTGCTAGGCTCAGGTCTATTTCACCTGACCACCAGAGGGCGGTGCTGAAAGCACTGGATGTTTCCTTCATGTTTGCGCTGTTTGAGCAATTATACCACCACCTGGCACCCTGGATGAGGTCCTGTAGATGTTACAATTCCAAAAAAGTAAAAAAAAAACAATCCACTGGACTTTGTCTCCAAGTTTAAAGACGTTTCGCTTCCCATCCAGGAAGCTTTTTCAATTTAAAATGTCAGAAATAGCGTTGAGTTTGAGGCTGACATTTTGAATAGAAAAAGCTTCCTGGATGGGAAGCGAAACGCCATCAAACTTGGAGAAAAAGTCCAGTGGATTGTTTTTTTTTTTTCTGGAATGACTATGACCTGGAAGGATGAGAATCTTCAACAGCATAGATGTTAAAATGTTTTTTTTTAAGAGCCTAACTCTGCTTTAAAGTCCTCTAGAACTTTCTCTATGACAACTATACCGTGTTTTTTTTAGTTTCCTTAATGTTCTGTAAAGAACTAAGAGGCCTCCAGAGAACAGCTGCTACGTATACTGAGATTAAAAAAGATGCATGCTATCTACTGCTGAGCTGATTTTATAGGCAGTTGTTTGCACTGAATTTATTTAGGGGTATCAAAGTAAAGGGGCTGAGAATCTTTTTTGTTTTTTTAAATCTTGCTTCATTTTATGTTCTGCTTTATGTAGATTGATAATATAAAGCCCTAACAGGATAAACTGAAGCTTTGCTTCAAGTTTAAAATGTCTTTCATCAGGGGTGAAAACTTTAGAAGGCTCAGTGCAGTGCTGTATCCTAGCTACCATGCTTTTAAAGCGATCTTTATCAGCAGTTCTTCTAATATTCTGAAGGTCTGGATTCCTGGTAGCCTAAAGCAGCGTCTGAATCTGTTAAATGGATTCCAGCCTCTTGGAAGGAGAAATAAAAGGATCTGGTTTATGCATGGACTCTGTCACTTACAGACGGGCGGCAGCTCGTACTCCACCTCCAGCACCACTCGCTCCCCGACGTTCTTCAGCAGGCTGATGATCTCGTCGTGCCTGAACTTGGCCAGGTTGATGCCGTTAACGGCGCGGATGTAGTCGCCCACGTTCAGCTGGTCGCTCCTGTTCAAACACAGAGATTATAATCCAAAATCCTATATTTAAATCTAAGACAAACCGAGCCTAATTCACCTGGCAGCAATCCCTCCCTGTCGCAGGTTAGAAACCCGAGGCTTCCCGTCTTTGTCAATCCCTCCTGAAACGGTGAGTCCGAGCGTCGTTCCCTCCTTCTTCATCAGCTCTACTACCGTGCATCCCCGAAACTCATCTGGAAAACAGATCACTGCTCATCAGCATCATCGTCACTGTTTACTCTTCCCTATCTGCCCTGATTCCACAGACAGAGAACTGGAATAATAACCCAGACAAACAGAAAAGAAGTCATCTCCTCTTCTGTCGGCCATCTATTTTTAATCAAAGCGGTGAATTATTCAGCAGAGGAGAGCTAAGCGCAGGGATATTTCATAGCTGCTACAGCGTGATGCGGACTGTCCTCAGGTGATATAACAGAAATCTGGATTTCACTTAATCGTTGGGATTTTAATATTAATGAGTCAGGGATTCCGCCTACTTCGTTCAGGCAGGACTACGCCAGCGTCGGCTTCTGAAGAGCAGGAACACTGACTGCAGCTAAAAAAAGAAGACCTCAGTCCTTTGATTCTGCTCGAATGTTTGATGAACCAGTTTCCTGCAGCTGTAGATGAACAACCTCTAAAATTGTTCTCAAACCCCCTTTTTTATGCACTTAAAAGGAGCTGAAGAAGAAAAACAGCCTCGCAGGAGCAGATTTCTACCAAAGCAGCACTATTTCTGTAGATAAGCTCCTTTGCAGGCTGAATTGGGAGCTTCTTCTGTTCTGTTTGCTTTCAGTGCTGAAAAAGCAGCTCTGAACCTTCGCTGTACCAGGAGCTCAACCTGCGGCGCTTTCATTTTAACTCGGATTTCATGAAAAACACAGAAAACAAAACATTTAAGCTGTGCAATCTGTGCATCTCCACAGGGAATTAACATTTAATGGAAGGTAACAAAAATAAATCTTAAAAGCACTGAATTAAACACATATAAAGCACTTTTTAATAAAATCAGTAAAACAAAAAACAATAAAACTATATAATTCAATTTATTTAAATAACACATCCATACACTCTCTGCTTTTTCTCATAGTAGCTTCATCTGGTCTGTTCCTGTTTGGCTGTGACTCCATCCTGGAGAGAAATATCAGCTGTGCTGCTGCCATCAACACCTTTGCTTATAGATGTTGGAGCTCGGCCTGTTTTCCAGTGTGGTCCTGTTTCTCTGACTGTGACTAACTGGATGTGCTCTCTTCATCCTCTGACATCGGAGTTGGCTCGGAGCTCGTCTGCCTGGCTGTGTGTTTCCTGGAGGTCAGCCTCGGCAGATGGCCGCTCACACTGAGCCTGGTTCTGCTGGAGGTTTATTTCTGTTAAAAGGGAGTTTTTCCTCTCCACTGTCGCTACAAGCATGCTTAGTGTTCAATCAACTGGTTTTCCTTAGATAGAAAACTTTGAAACAATTTGACTGGATGATCTGGTGAACTTTAAAGAGCCTTCAGATGATAAACTGAATTGAACATAAATGTAATTTTATAAACTAAGCGAAAATAAAATAGAAAACTAAGAACATTTTAGATTTAATTATTATTAATTAAATGTATAATATTTTCTAAAAGAAGCAAAAAAGTAAGCTAAAACTTTTTTTGGTATAATACATTTTTTGAAACTCAAAAAATAAAAAATAAACCACCATGTAAATATAAATTATATAAATAAAACTGTAAAATAATGTTAAAAAAATAAGATATTTAAATAAATACATAGAAAAAAGTACATGAACTTTAACAAAAGAAGGTAAAATATATGGTTTATTATAAAGCCAAAATATTCTAATAAGAATCAAAACATCTGAGCTCATAAATAAAAAATATCTATATAAACAAGGGAAATAAAAATACCGTTCAACAAATAAAGAAGTGGAAACTACAAAAAGGATTTCATTGATGCTTTATCTTTCCTTCTCACAGGTCTACAGGATTTATTACTGATGCTTCTCTTCCACCAGTTTCTGTTAAAAACTATTTACTTTAAATATCTCAGGAGCTGCTTTCTAAACCTCAACCAGTTAATAAATTTCAGGGTTCTGGAGGATTTCTGACATTAATCTGGACACTGAATGCAGCATCCAGACAGGAAACAGATTTAGGACACAGCTCCAGGTGGGAGGAAGTTCCTTCCTATAACTAATGGGATGGAAATCATCAGCTGTCTGAATGCTCCAGTTCCAGCTGCTGTCTTCATTCCTCCTAACTGGAGGAACTCAAAGCAGCAGGATGATGGTGGCTGCGTTACCTGGTATGCTCTGCCTCCTGATGGCCAGCGCTCCATCTGGAGGTCGCGATCCAGCCGAGTGCTTCGTGTACGGCCCTTCATCTGAAAGGACAACAAACTCTGTATTATTTCACAACTAAATATCTAATTATCAGAAGCTCATTTGACAAGATTCAGGTCTTTAAAACACCAAACTGATTTTAGTGGGTTCATATATCCATCAAAGGCTGATAGTTCAACAAGTTTTTTTTTTCTTTTTTAATAAACCAGTTTTATTTTATGAACTAAAACTAATGGTCTTTTTTGCCCACAAAAAAATAGGCAATATTAAAAAAAAAAATCTAAAGAATGACACAAATGAATAAAACGAGTGAAAAAACTACAACTATTGATCGACAGTATTTTCAACATCCATCCATTTCATCACGCTTTATCCCTGCTGGGGTCGAAGGCCTCAGAGTACCACAGAGACAAACACCTAAGGAGAATTTAGAGACGCCAATGAACCTTACGCTCATGTTTTTGGACTGTGGGAGGAAGCTGGAGTACCCAGAGAAAACTCACGTATGCAAAGGGAGATCATGCAAACTCCATGCAGAAAGCCCCAGTGCCGGGAATTAAACCGGGAACCTTCTTGTTCCTGTTCCCTAATTAGCAAACCTCAGATTATCTCATCAGGATCACAACATAGACTTTTTTTGCCCGGTTAAAAAAAAAACATTAGTTTGTTGCTCCTGATTGAGTAAAAGTGAACATTGTGATGAGATCCTTTCAACACCATCATCCCACAGAATCTGATAGGAAAACTGGAACAGCTGGGCTTCAATACACCCTCTGCAATTGGCTGCTAGACTTCCTCACCAACAGACCTCAGTCAGTCCGGGTCGGACAGAAAACCTCTGATGTCATCAGTCTAAGCGCAGGCTCCCCTCAGGGCTGCGTCCTGAGCCCCCTGCTGTTCACACGATGATGACACACGAATGCGTCCCCAGGTTCACCACTAATCACATCATAAGGTTCGCAAGGCCTCATCAGTGACGACAATGACCTGGACTACAGAGAGAGAAGGTGGAGCAGCTGATTGTGCAAAGATAACAGCCTGATCCTGAATGTGGAGAAGATGAAGGAGATCATCTTGGACTTCAGGAAGAAATGTCCTAACCACGCTCCACTGGTCATCAACAGTTCAGCTGTAGAGGTGGTCAGCAGCACCAAATTCCTGGGGGTGCACATCACAGACACCCTCACCTGGACTGGAAACACCACCTCACTGGTCAAAAGGACACAAAAGCGCATGTACTTTTTGCGGAGGATGAGTAGAGCCCACCTGCCCCCATCCCATCCTCACAACCCTCTACAGAAGCACCATAGAGAGCGTTCTGACCTGCTGTCTCACTGTGTGGTGTGGAGGCTGCAGCGCCTCAGACTGGAAGAAGGTGAGGAGAGTGGTAAGAAGAGCAGAGAGGATCATCAAGGCTCCTCTTCCCTCCATTAAAGACATTTCATCCCAGCACTGTGTGTCCTGAGCCCATAACATCATCAATGACCCCTCACACCCCCAACATGGACTGATCTCCCTGCTGCCCTCTAGGAAGAGGCTTCACAGCATTCAATGCAGGTCCAGCAGATTCTGCAACAGCTTCTGTACCTCCATATCAATAGGTTCAAGAAAAGAGAGAAATAGAGCTAAATGTTCAGAGACTTTTTAAGGAGAATCTTTTTAACTTCATGACATCATGAATTGGATTAAATGATTATGTGTTAAAAAGTATTTACATTATTTTTTTTCTGTTTTCAAGCACATCTCAATTTATTCTAGTGATTTTTTGCAGATGTAAATATGAGTATTAAGATGCTGTAGGATAACTTTGAAGAGTCAGAACCTCCAAAGAAACTGAAGGTAGTGGAGAAAATGATTTTAGATGGAGACAGGATGCTTATTTTACTTAATATTTAGCCAAAATAAGGAAAATACAATTGTTAAAAATTTTCTATTTAGCTACACAACACATTTTTTTATATATATATATACACATTTGATTTGACTAAAGGTTAAAATTTATTCCTCAGATTTGAATAAATCAATTTATATTCCAGATAATCAATCTATTGTTTGCTCAAATTTGTCAGTGGAAGATAACAACTGATTGATTTAACAAAGTATTGAGATGTTAATCAGGATTTTTACCCCTCAGATATTCCAAAAACTTATACATATACTAATAGTTTTCCTAAAAACTTTCTAAAAAGTCAGAGTTTTCCATCAAACCCAGAGCAATGCGTGTCTGTGTTTTATCTCTTTCTTGATTTTTGATGTTATTATATTTGGGTTTCCAGCCGGGCTGTAATTTATTCTAATCTGATCTGGATCAGCTCCGTTCGGTTCCAGCAGCCGGGCTCCGAAGTTAAACTAGATTCTGAAAACACTGCAGGGTTGTTTTTTTTTTCCAGCCTTTCTGAGGACATTACTTTCCAGGAGGTTCAGCCTGAACTGAAGCTTTTGTGTTTTTGAGCCTGAATGTTCCCTGAAGGGGAACCCTGATCCTTAATCCATGTCTACCTAATATTATTTCTGGATTATATTTATTTACTTTGCTAAATTAAATCCCCTGAATGTGACTATATCAGGGTCAGGTCCCCAGTAGATCTGTATATGAAGCAAACGCACATTCAGACCATATCTAAGTGAAGATGAAAGCCTCCTCCTCCTCCTCCTTCAGATGTAGGGCAGCAGCATCCAGCCCTTCCTGTGCTCAGCGACACTACTATACACTCCATTTGCAAACATGCTCTACAGGAAGCTGCGTTCCTAACACTGAATGTGTCTCTATAACATGCTGCTGATGCATGACGGTAAGATTAAAGGTTTGGGTGAAATGCTGAAGCAGGTTTCTTGAGCTTCATGAGGAAAGAATAAATCTGCCTTTGCAGTAATGCGAACACATAAACAAAGAAATTTATACATTTTTTGGATTAGTTGACTCTAAAATCAGGTAAATCCATCTTCAGATGCACAACAAATACGACCCTTTTCATCATGTCACTATTTATTGAACAGAAACTAACCAAAAAGCAGGAGCGGTGAGTGAAAAATCGAGTCTATCCTTCACTACATGACAGAAAGCAGCGGCTGGGAGAGGCTCTCTGAATGCTTGGAAAAGGAGGAGTCTTGTTAACACAATGTCACGACGGAAAGGCATCAGAAATCACCTCAAAGAAGGAGAGTTATTGTGAATCAGAGTTTAAAATGAGACAAATCTTCCTCCGTGTATTTGGTGATTGACAGGTAACCTGAAAAGCTCTACATACATTATAAAAAAAAAAATCCAACCTTCTGTCTATATAAGCACAGATGTCAGGCTAACCCCGAAAATTGATTTTTTCTTTAATTTCATTAATTATTATGGGATTTCGGGGGAACAATCAACATATACCGAACCGAAAACCGTAACCAGAAACCGTGAACCGAACCCAACCGTGGATTTTGTGAACCGTTCCACCCCTAGTCCGTACAGCTTAGATCAAAGATTACAGATTAGTGGAGCGCGGTCCTGATCCAGACCCACCTGATTGCTAGTCGGACCCAACCTGATTTAAACATTTATAAATTGCCGCATGTTATCCGACACCAGGTCTTACTTCTCCTGTTAATACGGTAGAGCCCTCCGGAGCATCTGGCACCAGGCTACACGTGATACACATTAGTCTGGGTTGCTGCTGCTGCTACTTTTATGCTGCTATCACACCTAAAGCAGCAAAGGCAGCAGGAGCAGCTAGTTTACATGCAAAGCCAAAGGTTGACACGCTTCATGGCGCAGCAAAACTTCCAGCAGCGCGTTTTGAGCAGCGGGTCGTGAGTATTTGAGCATCTGAGGTGCTGCAAAAGCAGCAGCTGCTGGAGTTGGAAAAATTTAACTTTTGCTGCTCGATTTGCTACATCAACCAATCAGAGAAGCTGATCTGGGAGCTGGCAGGGAGACGGACGCAGCACTGCTGATGCAGAGCACTATGATCACTCCTCTGAAACGGTTTGAATTCACATATAATTAAATTGACTTATAATGTCGAAACCTGCCGGAAAAACATGTTGACTTTTATTATCCTGGTGCCTGCAGTTTGGATTACGTACATAAACTTTGCCGCCTCGGCAAACGACGAAGAGAGGACCGGGTCATAGGCTGCTGTTGAATGGGATTCCTAGTGAGAGAGTACTGCTTTTATGTGGGAGTCTGAGCGGCGCCTAAAAAAATAATATTTGAAGGTAGGATGGGAATCTGGATGAACTGACTGCAAAGAATAAGTTTTCAGGTGGACTTTCTCACTTAAAAACTTATTAAAACTACTTTTTACCCGCTGATCACAGCAAATATAGCTGCCATTGTAACAGGCAGAGAGAGGATAGGGTAGCTCCGCCCAACGCGCTTCAGACACACTTTTTTCCACCGCGCAACCAGAGCAGCAATGAAACTTCAGCCGTGCATCAGAACTAAACTTGTACAACCATCAAAAATGAAGCAGCACGCGCATTTTTGCTGCTCTTGCTGCTTTAGGACTGAATGAAGCATTAGACACAGCAGACAAACCTGAGGCAAGCCAGGCGATGGGAAAGCTGTGGACTGCTGGAAGAATGTTAATACAACCAGTGGCCATATTCATAATCATAAACAAGATTCAGAAATCATTTCTAATGAGACTAAAAAGATTAGAAGTTGGACCTAGAGCTCAAACAGCAACAGGATTGTTGTTTGCAGGGTTTGTCTTGGATTTATGGGCGGCCAGGAGCAGCTCAGAAGCAGCTACAGTTTCCAGGTTTACGATGTCAATGTTTAACAGGCAGTTTCTTATTCTGCCAAAAAGCTGTAATGCCAGATAAAATGTGTCAGATTGACGAGCCGGACGTGACGTTTTATTAGCCGGCTCTTCAGAAAACGTCTAAAACGTGGAAACAACAGAGTATGGAGCTTAAAGCACCTACCTTCACATCTCAGCCTCAGAGCTCAGATTTCCTTTACTTGTTTTCACAACAGGAAAAACATTTAAGGTAGCTGTCAATCTTCCTGTAATGGATCTATCAGCTAATTCCCTCTTAAGGTCAGAAACGC